CCCCATCTTTGCCTGGCTGGCTGCCAGCAGCACGGGCCGCAAGTCTCCAGAGCCCCTTCACCGCAAATGCCACCAGGGCTTCTCTTCATTAGCCTCCATCAGCGTGTTTGCTCCCCACACATACCCCCAGGAGCTACCTCTCCGTCTCACAGCCCAGCGCCCCAGATCCTGCTCCCCAGTCCACCTTGGCCAAGTCTAAGTTATCAGCGCCAGCTGAACCAGCAGCATCCTCATCCCTCTTTCATCCGAGAGGGTTGAACCCTTCCTTGCTGTGCCTGCCGATCACCTCCACCGCAGGCATGCAGCTGCCTCTCTGGCTAGTCTTAAAACTCAGTCTCCATCACACTTTCCAACCGGAAATTTCTCTCCATTCGTAGCACCGTTTTGAGGCTGCCGGGTACTGCTTTGCCTCGGTGACACTGAGCAATGTCTCACGGGTGAGCAGTCAAGCAGGTACCGCGGTGTCTGCAATCAGGCTCTTCTCTGCTTTCTACTCAGCTGAAGGGAAGCCGAAATCAAAGAAAAGGCTAACGCTCACACAAGGACAAACTAAGCAGTGCCGCTCCCTCTGAGCGGGGCAGAGCCTCGGGGAGGGCCCTGTCAGGGAGCGTGCTGAACGAGACTGAGGGTAACGGGCATCTCGAGCTGTTTGGAGGCAGGTCACCGCCAATTCTGCGCCGTTCAAGAGACTCTGCACATATGCAGCTTTCTGGTCTTTTTTCTAATTCAGATAACACACCAGCTGCCCCTCCGAGAGCCAGCGTGTTTTATTTTAAAGTCTTCAGGCTCACTACAGGGCAAAAGATATTCAGATGGCCAGAGTTGCAGATACCTGCTTCTACAGATACCCGCACTGGCACCAGACAGTGCTGGGTACTTGCCCGAGGCAGGAGGCTGCAGAGGGGAAGGCAGCTGCACAGCCACCAGCAGCCGCGCGCTTGCTTCCTCCACGCTTCGCTGGCTGGCCGCGGTCGAACAGCGGTGGCGAGGCAGCTAACGGCAATACTCAGAGCTCGGCAGCTCAGGACAAGAGGCAGACAGCGGTTGGGTGCTCTGCGTTCCCAAGATCTTGGCTGGGGAGGAGTACAGCTGAATAAGCCTCCCAGCGCTGTTACCTGGGACAGTCTGCCAAATGCTCCTTGGAGACAGGTTAGTACAGGCAGCACAGGCCTATACCGATAAAAGCCACCAGCTTTTAAAGGGAGCCCAAGCAATTCTTCGAGGAAGCTTCCCTCTTGCAGAGGGAAACGCTTCCCTTTGGTCACAGGGACAAGTTAATCCTAACGACAGGCACACAGCAAGCAAGACCATGGGAGCGTTGTGATTCTCAGAGGAACAGAGGCTCTACGACAAGCAATGCCTCTATGCCAGCTGAGAGCCCCCTCTCCTCCTCATTGGAGCCCACTCCAAATTTCATGAAGATAACGATATTCCAAGCAGGAGTTTCGCATAAGCAGGAACGCTGATACTATCAGGATCGTGAGGCAGATCTTTCAGCAGAGAAGCAAGAATAACTTGTTTAGCGCTTTTAAAGAGCCATGCTGCAGGCTGGGTACTAGGAGGAAATTTCTGCCTTTGACAACTGTCCAGAAAGTTTCTCCTGTTTTAGGGATTAGCATCTATTTAAAAGAGTGGGGGGAAAAAAAAAAGGGCATTTTGTTTTAAAGGAAGTCTTCTTCCCAATCAAGTGCTGGATGCCACAAGTTTGAATTTTTAATTTATATACAGAACAGCAGTTGCACATGCTTGCTCCTTGAATGTAGATGTTACCATTGAAAAAAACTGAGAAAAGAAAAAAAAGTACCAGACCAGGCAGGGGGATGATGCATTCCAATTAGTGCACTAAAAATGCAGCCCTCTCCATTTAGAGCTCTAAGAATGCAGCCCAGATTTTTTTTTTTTCCACCAGAACTTGAAAAGAATAAATCAAAGTAATTATAGCACTGCCCTTTCAGAATTGCTTTGCAAAGCTGAAATCAGAGCTTCAAAAGGTTTTTACTAGCAGCCAGCAAATCCAGAGAAGACTACTTCAGGCAGCTGTGCTAGCCCCAAGACGTGCTTCATGAGCCACTTCCACATGGAAAAATAGCCTGGGTTCAGTTAAAGCAGCTTATAAAGTCTATATTTGTGTCTCACTTCCCCCAGCCCTTATTACCTACCACATCTGCATGAAATCAGGATCATCCCTTCCAAAAAGTTCACTGGCTACTAGTGCAGAGTCCTGCATCCCATACTTATATAACATTTATTGCCCAAGACCTTTAGAGCAGAGATAGCTAGATTAATTTCCCCATAATGCAGGAATGACAAAGTATGACTTACTAAGTAAAAGGCCAAGTGATGGAAGCAGGAGCAGAATCCGAGTGCTTTGACTTTCAACATAAAAGCTTGCTGCACTGATGGGGATTTGCTGCCACCCTAACAGAACAACACAGTACCATCAAGCAGATTCAGTCAGCAAGGTAATGATTGCCAACTACAGATCCTGGTTTCATGCCGAGGCAGTCAGGGTTCATAAACAAAGGCTTCTTCTCAGCCATCTGAGCAGAGATCCATGTCGATGAACCATGGACAGGGTGGATAAAAAACTGCATATTTTAAAAATACTTTTCTTTGAAGTTGAAAGTTATGCTAACCTTCAGTAATTCAATCTAGGAATTGTTCAAATTACATTTGAAAAGTAATCAGGTAGTTCATGTTTGCTGCATAAGCTTTAAAGAACAGACAATGGAACTGGTGACAGCCACTGGCTTAGTGCGCGGCACCAAATTTCAGTAAACTACACTTTTAAGTGAAGCAGAAACTGCCTTTTCCTCCTCCAATCAAAAAAGAGAGTTCTAAGAGGAGAGAGCTACTAGTTACAGCAGACTGAAAACACACCGTGTCCAGAAACATTCGTTCTATTCAATAGCTAAAATGTTTCCATGAAATAATCATTATTAAAGGCAAAACTTGTCCTAATAGTCTCTTAGGAGTCCAACACAGCGCAGTTTAACCAACACTGTTAAACTGCTGGTCTTGGGTTTTTAAGTTGTATTTCAATCCCAACATAGTTTGGTTCAAGATACAGGTTTTTAAAAGTCATTTTTACAAGGAAAGAAATATTTTTTGTCATTATAATACAATCAAATGCACAACTAGGAGTCTGAATAAATATATTTTAAATTAAAAGCATTTTTTGGTAGAGTTATGCTCTTTGCAAAAAGTAGTACAAAGTTTGATATGAAGCTTATACTGAATTGTAAATTGAGATGTTTAGTTGTTACCAATAAGGGATAAATAAGTTCTCCTTCAAGACGAGCCAAAAAGTGAATATGCAAAACAAGATTAAGTCAATGATTTAAAACAAGACTTGCTGATTTAAGCCAGAGCTGAAGACTGGCAAGGTAAAGACATCCACCCTGGCCATAGAGACTCTCTGTTCTCCCCATTAGCCCGTAGATGGTTTCCTTTTTAGGTCAAAGACAAGGAACGCTCTGCAGGGCAGCACAAGGGAAACTGGCTACCTGTCCACGTGGTACCTGTATTAGGAAAAGAGGACTTCAATCTCCAAGGTTGCCATTCCAACACCTTCACTAGCACTAAATTCACAGGAAACCTAAGGACCTAAGAGACAGAACATGGAAACTTTATCAGGATTTCTAAGGCATCTTCCTGCATACAGCCCTGCTCAAGAAAATAGGAACCCAAAAGGAAAAGGTTTTTGGAGTTTGTCAAGAGGTATTTTTTCAAGTGTTTAAAAGGAGTTAATTTAATACCTTCCCCAAAGTAAAGACAGCCATAGACTTCAACAGAAGAAGAGATGAGCCTAAATCAAAACCCTGGATCAGGATATCTTCCAGTTTGGAGGAATGCACATCTGGACGGGAGCATTGAGCTTGTCTCATTTCTAAAAATAAACTGTTCATTGATCATTTTTTTGCCTAAAATTCACAAGTGATTTTATGATTTGCCATACATATTTCTCTCTGATGAAATCTCTGCAGATCACTTAAAGCATAAGTTTACCTTCAAATCAAGAGCACAACTGCAGAAGCACTCAGCGCTACTTGTACAGAGCTGCTGATCAGCCAAAAAATCTGTAGTAAGGGACTCCAAGAGCTTCTGCAGCCTGAATATTCATGTATTCATAGAAGAAAAACAATTCTTTGTCTCCACGGTCACTGGAAGCCTGCAATAACGTCCCTAATGTGCACCTAATTCCCATGGGGAACAGCAAGTTTCAGGCACCCTAACTCTTAATACAGAGAGGAAACCTTTTGTAGTCCTAAGGGATATAATGCTGACTGGAACGGTTTAAATGTGCTGATTTAGACAGAGCTTTATAACAGGCTTTGAAATCTATCTGGATGCACTTTCAGCATACGTGAGGAAGACTCAGATCACACTTTGACCATGCTTTCCACAACTAACCAAAGGTTAATGTGTACCTGGCAGGAAACAAATAGACAGGTTTCCGGGCAGTAAATCCCTCTGACAGTCATCTCACAATAGCCTGTTTTGAGATGGTCATTTATCCCAGAAGGGGCTTTGGGTTGGCCTCAATTCCACACAGACCTACTATGTAAATCTCAAACTGGAACTTCACTTTGCTGACCCATGCTCCCATCACAGGCAGCACACAGAAATCCAGTGAATTGGGTGACCTGGAAAAAACAAAAGTGGAATTGGGGAGGGGTTTGCTTTTATCGACATAGAACATCTCACTGACAAAGCATACAGCTTTGAGTTCCTCTCCTTTGTTGCACGCAGAACGGTTTCCCCACACACAAAAATCAAACCAAAAAGGGAACAAGAGAGGAAGCTGGCTACATGAGGGACAGAAGTGAAAGTAATATTCAAACCTATCAGAATATATAAAACAAAACGGAAAGAGATGTCCCTCTCCACCATCTGTCGCAGGACCGCCCTCGGGGTGATTAATGAGAGAGATGTTTCAAAGAGACTTATCACCTGAGAACACCTATGCCCCTCCAAGCGCCTGCAAGCCCGGGACTTACACTGCCATGCCACCAACAAACTCCTCCGTAGCTTGGCAGTAGATTGTGATGGCAACACGGGCATCCGCATCAAACGTGAATTCCAGGCTGTACAAGACTTTCTGCTTCCCATTCTCCTCAGTAGGGCTGTCAACATCATCTTTATACCTGAAAAACAATGCCAGAGGATTAGAACACGTATTTATGAGATATTAATTAGTCATGAAGTTCACTCTGAAAGTCGGGGCAAGAGTACTCCCTTCAATCTACTTTGTGTGTTCTGGGCAAGTCAGTCACCATGGGCTTTCACAACGCCCAGGAGATTTCTGTTCTTTCCTCTGAGGAAGGTTCTTCCAAAAATTTAGCTGAAATTATGAAAGCAAATTATGTAGCAATGCTGTTGAGGTGTCTCTCAGTCTTACAGTGCCAGGCCACGGAAAGAGCCAGGAAGTTTAACTCTCAAATGCTGGACCTTTAGGAGGGGAAACATTCTCCCTCAAGTGTTCGCATTATGCTCAGTATGTAGACTAAAACAATCCTGCATGAGCCTGAAAAATCTAAAGCTTGATTTTTTTTAGCTGCACAAATGAAATGGTGAGGAGTTCCAGGTGCATGACAGGCAAAAAGCAAGGTGCCTGTAATCCAAAGAGCTCCTAAAGCTCAGCAGAAGGTACCTCCAGTCTTATAGGGAAGATGGTATTCAGATCAGAAAGCACCCAAACATAGAAATTTCAAATACCTTTAAAACCATCAATCAAATCCATGCTGCTGCTAATAACTGAAGTTTGCACACGTTTATAATATGAATAAAAGTTAACACATTCAATTGCACAACAAAGGCATGATAACCAGGAGAAGAATGAATCTATCTGGTTTTTCAATGAACATAAAGAGGAGTCATAACTCAGATTTGGGCTACTGGACAGTTGGATCCCACTGTGTGATAGTTGTTCACCACTGCACGGTATTACATTTTCTCCCTCTTTCCTAGAAAAAGAGCAGGCAGCAAATTCAGAGAGAGAGGTGGAATGAGACAGCATCCAGGGCAGTGAGCCACTGGATAAGCAGTGAATTACGGAGCGCCAGGAGTAACCAAGGGGACAGACAGATCCTGGAACAAGCAACCAACACAACATACCACGAGAAGGGTTCCCCTGCCTTGAAGCACACAGTGGCAGATAGAAAGGACACAACACGATGGCAGAAGCAGATTCTCTTACATAAATTCAAATCCCTCTCTAATCCTGTAACTATGGGTACCGCAGTTCACGTGCTGCACGAGACTGGTGAATGCAGCAGGTTGCCTTTCAGCAGCGTACAATGACACTGGATTTGCTGCCCAGGCCCAGTCTAACATGCCTTCAGTATTGCCTTAATTGCCAGGAAGCCTGGGTCAAAGCCAGACAGCTAAACTATTCAAAAGAAAGCCTGGCACCATCTCCAGCTCCACAGTATCAGCAGGCCTCTTTCTTCATTAAACAGCCTCAAGGAACATGCTGCGCTATTGAAAATACTCAGAATTGAGCTAGACATACCTCTATAATTCAAACTAGAAATTGTCAAGGGAGCCCATATTTACCGAGTTCACCAAGAGGTAGTAACCGCTGCCTAGCTGAGAAGGTTACAGCATGAATTCTGCTTAACGATGCACTGAACGAGAAAGAAATGCTCAGCTTCAGTGATTCAACGTAGAAGGTGCAAAATAAAGTTTAAGAGCAGTATAATCAAATACTTAGCATATACACTTGTACTAACGTAACCTTAGTGCATCGGTATCACTATGGCATACTTTTGCATTCCTGTCTAGAGGACTTTGAGACCTCCAAACAAGACTTTTGCCAGAGGATCACCTCGGTCAGAACAGTTAAACAAGCTCAAATACGCCCGACGTGCTAGGACAAAAAGAACAAAACCCAAGAGCTGACAGTCTAAACAGCTGCAGCAACCTGTATACAATAGCCAGAACAGAGCACGGCAGTATTTTCACACATAGGGTAGAGTGCTCGAAAGAGTAAAGTCATGGCACTTTGAGGCTGTGAACATGAAACGCTCTGGCCAGCTCAGCAGGTTTTCCTAAAGAACATGGGTAACTATCTCTTGCCACACTGCCCTCCGTTGATCCGAGGCAGGCAGCGAAGGACAAGGCGAGCAGGATCTCCAGGCTACCATACACTTGCCGCTTCTTTCAAAGTAGGGCAGGGAAGAACCAGCACTCCATTCTGGGCAGGCACTGATGAAGGCTAGTTCATAGATCTATATCTGTTGCATATAGGTAGGTATTAAAATAGAGATACGTGGCCTATACATGAGTCACGGCTCAGCAGCTTCGCACCAAGAGAGCTAATACCCATAACAAGGTGGGAGACCTGGCGGAGGGCTGGTCACACAAAAGCAACATGTCAACAGTAAAACCATCTTTTGTCTTTCAGGAAAATCATACAGAGCATATAGGTTCCCAGATCACCCTCCAGCTCCCAACCTCACCTCTGGATCTCCCCGCCAGCACACAGAACCTGCTCCCATTCTTTCAAGAAAAAAAAAAAAAGAAGGGGTTAAACCTAGACTAGAATACATCGGGTAACCACTGGATGGTCACAATAAACTTGCATGCCTGGAGAGAAGTTTTCTGGAAGCTGCATCTGCTGCAGAGAAGTCGAGCCAGAGCCCCGCGTGCCTGGAGCAGAGTCACTGGAGCAAGGGGCAAAGTACACACATCCAAACGCTGCCAAGCACAGCAAGGCTGTGTACACACCTACCTATCGTAACAGGCCTGTCGCTGGGGAAAAATGTAAATGTCAGTCCTATAATGAGCTCTGGTGAGAAAAGATCGCATGGGTGGCTATGCCCGCTGGTTGCAGGGCTGAGACAAGGGAGGACTACTTTGATGCATACTTTGAGAGGCACAGAGACATCTCACATTCCACCTTATGGTGCAGGAACGGTGGGGTTTAACTTCAGGGGAGTAGCAAGACAAAGCCACACGCTTTGCATTCCTTCCATCGATGCAACGGACGTGGCGGACAAGGAGGTGGCTCAGGAGTTGACAAGAGCTCTTCTGTGCCCAGCTGCACCTGAAGTCTACAGTGTACATTTAGCGAAGCCTTACAGTGCTGTGAAGTGGCCACGGACGCATGCAAAATTTAGCACCCGGTGACTGTGCTAGCTGTGCCTTTTGGTCATGCACGCAAGTTAATAGCATAGCCGTCACAATCACATACACAGAGCAGAAGAGATTTGACCACCTTTGAGAACAAATAGCTGATCCAAAGTTATGACGAGAACGACAAAGCAAGATGACTAAGGGAGCTGAGGCCACTTGGTCTGACATCAATTCTGGGCAAAACAATGGAAATACTGGAACTTTTTGTTTGTCTGTTAAAGAATTAAAAGATAAAGATTAACAGCAGCCATGACAATTTTACAGAAATAAGTCTAGTTGAACCTGATTTCATCCTCTGAGGAGATTAAAAAGCCTGACCAACAACTCAGTAGACATGCAAGACAGATTTTAAGTATTGCTCAACTTAGTATCAAGGGATATATTCAATGGAGATATTCAAAACCCGTCTGGATGTGATCCTGGGCAATATGCTCTAGGTGACCCTGCTTGAGCAGGGAGGTTGGACTAGATGATCTCCAGAGGTCCCTGCCAACCTAAACGATTCTGTGATTCTGTGATATTTTGATAAACGCATTACAACAGTGCTAGGGCAGACAAAAAATGAAGTAAGAATTGGCTGATACCTCACTCAACATTCGCTTTTGGGGGAATCCTCATTAAAAGGAGGCTTCCCTAGCTGGAGGCTCTGCAAAGATCCATATGCAGTTTAACGCTATTCAGCGCCGCAGAGCGGGCAGTCCCAGCACCCTCACCATCACCACCTCCACTGTGGGATGAACCATCCCAGGGACCAAAGTGAGCCCTGCTGTGCTGAGGAACACGGCCTGGTGAGGGAAGAGAAAGGACAGCTCTTCTCTCACTCACAGCTGCCTCCCCTCAGTCCCCCATCATTTTTGTCCAAGGTGCTCCCTGGTCTCAGTACTCTTGGCGATACTGTTGCTACTTTGGACGCATTTCCAAGCTGCTACAGTTCCTGACTCCTCCAGCGCTTTTGTTCCACATTGCTCTAAGTCCAAAGCTCGTGCTGAGGCAGAGAGGCCGACCCACAGTGGAACCCCTCCATGAAACACATCACCTCGTGAGTCAATCTTCCTCCTGCAATTGGAAGTGCCTTCAAGGCAGGAGTAAGCAGCCTACACCAGCCCCATTAGGTACTTCAGCTTTGAAAAAAGGCTTCCAACCCAGAGCAAGGAGAGGGGCACAAGAGAGACACAAAGCCATCGTTTTCTGTTAACGGTAACAGCAAAGCTCACGCTGCCCTCCGAGGTTAACACAAAGTCTCATCCTGTCAAGAAATCAAGGACTCGTACAAGGCCTCCAAGAGTCAGAACTTTAACACCAACATCCACAGGTTTATTGCTTCTCTTCAAAGCTGCTGTAAATATCCAGGATTTGGCAAAGCTCAGAAAATTGTCCAGCCAGAGCACGGCAGAAAGCCCAGAGCGGAAACCTCCTCACATTCCTCCATACAATTCCACACTGCATTACGGATCAACAGCCTCCTCATAGGTAAAGAGTGAATTTTCAGATAAACAATCACAAGAAAAACAAAGGCTTTTGGGGACTTTACTGTGAGAACCTATCTTACACTTCGGCACTCAGCTCAATCTCATTTTATCCGGGGAAGGAGATGGTAAAATAGAACTTAATTAGTCCTAGAAGGAGTCTGCAAGCCTCAACCATCAGTTACTATTAAGCCAAGGTGGAGAGGGTACAAAGGGTCTTATACATAAAACAAGGGAAAAAGGAGACGCCTCTAGTCCAGAAGGGCAGAAAAGCACAAGACAAAATGTGCCCTTGGGGACTGTCAATTAAATTTCCATTTTGGGTCTGCATCAGCATAAAATGAAACAGAATAGTGTCAGCAGTGAGGTCATTAGCACCAATACAGCAGCAGTAACACAAGAAGTCACGTCACGAGGCAGAGAAAGAGTTGATAGCACTGGGATTTATCGGAATGCAAACCGAGACACCATCCAAGGTACTTGGACACCACGTTATCAATAGTTCAGCTTTACAACTCTGCTGGGGAGTACAGGATATGAAATCACAGAACACAGAACGACAGAACCGTATGTACTAACACCTGCTCATGCCTGCATTCACAGCAAGCCCTTTCCCAATGAAAAAGCCACTTCCCATCAGGCTTGGGAGAGCACTATTTATGTGAATGTTTGAAAGGAGAAGGAAATACCCTTTCCACAAAGTCTGGGAAGAAAACAAGATTTTTTTTTCTAGAGAAGTAATACATCCTTTTGCTAAAAAAGCCAGGCAGCATTCAGAACAGTTTGCCAACGGTTACTTCGGAAGAAGCTCTCCCCTCTTTTCCTGTTCAGCCAGTTTTAAAATCACAGGTATTGCTCATAAAAAAAAAAAAGTCAGATAAAAACAGAGTTTCAAGTCGTTATGACTCAAAATACTCGCATTATGCCATGCTCCCAGGCGCACTTGGGCCAAGAGTGGAAGCTGGCCCCCTGCCAGTACTCCAGCCCTGCACACCGATTCAGAGAGAGACTCAAGGATCTTGGAGAAACGCTCTGCCTGGACATCTGCCCAGCTGCTCAGACCAAAACAAAGCACTGTGTGCTATGCTGGGCCCCTGTGCTTCAGGCGTCTGTTTGGAAGAGGGCAGCCACAGGCTGAACTGTTAGTCATTGCATTTAACCCATAACTCACATTTGTGCTAATGCTATTTTAGATCTCAGCGCAAAGCAGTGAAAGGTAGGAGATCTCTAAGATTATCCAGACCTCCCTCCCCCGTGCATGGGACACGGGCCATCTAAACACATGCATAACAGCAAAGATCACCCTGCATCTTGGCAGCAGGAGAAACGTGATGCAGTTTCATTCAAGACCAGTCAGTCTTCCTGGCCTGCGACTTGCACCAAAATCAACTACTTCCTGGCTTTTCCTTGCACAAGAATGCAGAAAGGAATTTGTCTGTAGGGTTTATTGACCAGACTAATACCTTCCACTCATGCTAATAATACTATGCAAGACCCAAGACCACAGCTTTTTGTTACTGCTCTAGTCTGTTCTGTAGAGACAGGTACATCACCGGTCCTGTTTGGAAATACAGATTGCCCAGACCTAGGGAAAAGGAGCGCGTGAACTACCTGAAAGCTCCAATCACATAGGAACACTCAACCTTCTGGACACACCCAGCAACAAGGGTCTGGGACTCAGGTATTTCTCCAACACCTTACCAAATTCACAGCTCTGGCTGCCAGATCACAGAGTTGGGGGTGGGAGGAAAGAGTTCAGGCAAGAAAGGTACCTCACAAGACGGAGAGAGTCTTTGCGGATATTCACCAAACTTCTCAGTGTCTTCACAGGCTCATGTGGAGCTGGAGTTACATAGGGAAACTGGAACAAAAAGGCAAATAATTGTCTTATTATTATACTAAAACAGATAGCAGCACATTACCTTCTGCACAATCTACCCAAATCAAGAAACATCCACCTACCTTTAAACGTGCTCATTTCAACAGCAACTGCAAACAACAGTAATAGAATATTCTGTTCATGATAAATTGAGTGGGTTTCAGAGTGCAAATCCTGCTCCGGCCCAGCAACAGTACATACTGGGAGTACATACTTTAAAAAGGGGCACTTTCATATGGTCTTTCACTACACTCCAAATTTTCAACCTAGAAAGCCTTGCTCTCACAAGTTTTTACTTCCACTAAGGAAACCACCTCCAGCTTGAACAGAAGAAATGCAGCTCTTTCATGTGTGTTACAGCATGCAACAGTGATCTGACTGCTAATCAGCATGCAGAAGCTCTGGATTCCCAAAGGAAACCTCTTCTATTCCAAAACAATGGGCCAAATGCTCTGGAAAAGACGAGAAAAAAAAAAAAAAGGTGAAGGGATGGGGGCCTCATTCTATTCTACAGCTAGAGACCTTCCCTCACAGATTGTCCTTTAAGTAAAGGACAACCAACACTTAAGACTGTCTGTAGCTCTCTGTACTGCTCACAGACTCCCCAGGGGGAAATGCAAAGGAAACTGCTTACTTTGGCAACTGTAACCTTTACAACTGCAGAGCTGCCCGCTGGATCTTCCCATCTGCTCAGGAAAATCCCAGGCTGACACATCCATTCACACAACTGCCAAGTTTGGTTGGTGCTCCGACCGGAAACACAGCCATGCTCCAAGCCACAGCAACAGGGTGACACAAAGATACAGAGCTACAGGACGGGCTTTCAGGCAGCAGGTTACTCTGAACGCAACTGGCAACAGTGCCACCTCGTAGCCTAATTAGAGTTGGGCTCCTTCAAGCACGAATCCACTAGGAGCTCTGTAGTAGTTCTAGACCAGCATGACTGACGCGGAGCAGAAGTATCAGGGACTACCAATATACACATCTCCTCATAAAAGGAAAACCTACTAAACAGGTAGCCAAACGCTGCTGCAGCTGGACTTTGGGGCAGTCCTAGGACACAACCCTTCACCCTTGCCCCCTCAGGCTACAGGGGCACATTGTTGGGGCAAGATCCAGAGGTTGAAGGAAAACTTGCTGTTTCCTGATCAACATTAGGAAGCCACAGAAGACCCCATGCCACAGTCACAGGACAGATACGTCCAAAAGCAACGGAGAATTCATGGGGCAGCATCAACTACTTTCTTTGCAGTCTGACTGTTCAACACCATGGTTGGTAGCACTACTGTACGCAGAGCGATCAAGACCTCAGCTACTCCAAAGCGAGGACTTGGCCCACTTCCAGAAAGCAGTTTTGCTGCCTTGTGTTCAAGTGTCTTTTCTTGAAGATTAATCAGAGCTGCCAAAGGGCATTAACTTTACATAGGAAGGCTATGTACCACAACAGCCTCCCTCTCTTAAACCTATTTGGCAAACCTCCCACTGTGCTAATAGCATTCTCACCCACTCCCCCCTGAAGAAATGATGAAATTCAGTGCCAGGATGCCTGCAAGAAAAGCCAGGCTGAGACAGGCAGACAATTTAACTTGGAGATTGCCACACGAGTCCTGCAGCCACAGGCACACAGGATAGTTAGGTAACAACTGCATTTTCTGCTTTCGCTGGAACGCTGTGCAGCTGGCAGTCTCATCACACCAGAGCAAAGGAGAAGAGGTCAGCTTTAAGACACTGTCCTGCAGAGGCCCTGTACGCAGCCATGGCAAAGGGTGTTCTGCGAGCATCCCCACACCTGCACAGGACCATCATGTCCAGAACAATTTCCAAGTAAAGTCCCTCCTTCCTAATTTTGTTGCTCATCTGCCCTTTCTGCTTGAACAGGAGCTCTCCGGATTCTCAGTTATCCTCCCCTGCAGAGTTCTGTTATCTAACCGTGGTAGGGCAAAGAGCAATGGCACAGCCTGAGAATAGCTCAGAGAAGAGAACATGCTCAAGAAGCCTGCTCGACAACAGTCCAAACTCAAACATCAAGTCATTCTGCCTTGCTTTCCTCTACCTGTAAAACAGGGATAATACTGAACTGCCTCTGAACGCTACTGGCATGAACTAATTATCATTCATGGCTTTTTTGAAGATGAGAACCATTACATCAATTTTTCTTTTTCATGTATTTGAACCTGCAGAAGCTGCTAGGAAAATAGCTGGTAAAGCAAGCACCTCTCTTCCCTTTCCTCTCCTGCACTCTGAAAACAGCTCCAAACAGCTCCTACTCTGTTACCTTTCGGTCTTTCTAGGCAGTTCTGAGATGCAGGAGAAATCCAAGGGAACACTTGCAATAGAACCCCAAAGCCAAAACTCTGTCCCTCATAACAGGGCTATCCCTTGTTCATACCAAAATGACAAGCCAATCTCTGGAGCAGGCAGCTTTTCACAGCCTCATAAGACATCTGTGAGCCCAAAAGTACCTTCATGTTCCAACTGGGAAAACTTAAGAAGAGACTTTATGAGAAGCCCACCCGCGTCACAAAGCAACCAACAGCCAAGACAGAACGGGTATGTCCACCACAAGTACTAAGGTCTATCTTAACGCTGCCCTAAACCCGTACAAACCAATCATTTATACGGAGAACACCTTGGATCGAACATCAGCAG